ATTATTAGCAGCTTTTTCATACCAATAAAGAGCCATTTTTAAATTCTTTTCTGTTCCTACTCCATATATTCCATATTGATATAATAATGCAAGATGAGTTTGTGCACATGCATTATTATTTTTAGCAGCTTTTTGATACCAAAATAAGGCTTTTTCTATATTCTTTTCTGTTCCTTTATCATTATAATATAAAGTTGCTAAACAATTTTGTGCATTTATATGATTATTTTTAGCAGCTTTTTGATACCAATAAATAGCTTTTTCTAAATCCTTTTTAGTTCCTTCACCATTATTATATAAATTTGCTATATTAAACTGTGCTTTATTATTTTCATTTTCAGCAGCTTGCTGATACCAGTATAAGGCCATTTTTAAATTCTTTTCAGTTCCTCTACCATTATAATACAAAGTTGCTAAACAATTTTGTGCATCTGCATAATTATTTTCTGCTGCTTTTTTAAACCAATAAAAAGATCTTTCTAAATTTTTTTCTGTTCCTTCACCATTTTTATATAAAAATGCAAGGTTATACTGTGCTTTTATATGTCGATTTTTAGCAGCTTTTTGATACCAATAAAAAGCCTTTTTTAAATCCTTTTCAGTTCCTTCACCACTATAATATAAATTTGCAAGATTATATTGTGCCATTTCATTATTTTTTTCAGCAGCTTTTTGGTACCAATAGAATGCCTTTTCTAAATTTATTTTAGTTCCTTCACCATTATAATATAAATGTGCGAGATTATATTGTGCATTTATATTATTTTTTTCAGCAGCTTTTTGGTACCAATAGACTGCCTTTTCTAAATTCTTTTTAGTTCCTTCACCATTGTAATATAAATTTCCAAGATTATATTGTGCAATTTGATTATTTTTTTCAGCAGCTTTTTGATACCAATAGAATGCTTTTTCTAAATCCTTTTTAGTTCCTTCACCATTATAATATTTATTTGCGAGATTATATTGTGTTATATTATTCTTTTTAGCGGCGGCTTTTGAAGTTAAGTCAAAGTTTTTTTCTAAATTCTTTATTTCTTCAACTTTATCCAAACTTATCATAAGGTTTGACGAGTTTTTTGCAGAATCTATTACATTTAATTGGGCAAACTCTTGATTTTGTGAAATTATCGCATCACTTTGTTCAGAAGAAATAATTGATTTAAGAGTTGTAACTAGTCTTTGTACATTTGGACGCTTATCTGGTTCATATTTCCAACATTCTAATAAATTATAATCTTTTTAATAAATTAAATGATAAATAAATAATATAGTAATATTAATCTGTTCACCTTGATATAAATTACTATATTTAGGAGGAGTTCCATCGATTATTGTTTCTCTATTTCCGGTTATTATTCCTAATGGCTCTATATTATAATTAGTAAATGGCCGATATCCACTTGAAATTTGCCACATCAAAACTCCAATGCTATATACATCAGATTTTTTATCTAATTTGTATTTCGGATCTTCTAAGCCTTTTGGATCAATATAGGGAAATACACCAATTATGTATGAAACACCATTTGACTCTTCGGCTATTTTTTTTGATAAGCCAAAATCTGCTAATTTAATATCTTTCCGATGAACAAGTATATTTTTTGCATGCTATAAATTTATTACAAAATGAACATAATTACGAATTATTTAAATATATCAACAAAGACACTGAAGGTAGCTCTTACCAGGTCACGATGAACAATATCACAGTCATGTATAAATTCTACAGCACTTGCCAGTTGCAAAGCTAGATGATTTTTTTCATTCCAATTAAGTTCTTTAAAATGCTTATTTAAGTAAGCATTTAAAGTGCCATTATCAGCATATTCCAAAACCAAAGAATATTTTTTAATTGCATCTGCATTAAATAAATAAATAAATAAATAAATTACTAAGAATAAATTGAAATGATTTTACAAATTAATTCAAAGTATACCAGTTCTTTCTTTAGTGACGCCATAAAATCGCAGAATATTTTGATGGTAATCCACTCTTTTGTGTAATTTTATCTATAAAGAAATTGAATTCTTATAAATCAATTTTTAATTTTATTATGAATCTTATTTAAATCATTGGATTATTTGTACCTCATTTACAACTTCCTTCAGAGTAATTTTATCATTATTAAACGATTTCAAAGCAAAGTAGCGATCCGAACTTTTCCAATTAGCACATACAACATTTCCAGACGATCCACTTCCAATTGGTTTTAAATTATTGAAATCCGAGCGTTCATAATGAATGAGATATTCCTCAGAAATCGAATTTTCTATCCAATTAATAAAATATTCATTTAAAATATTTTTTTTTTCCCCTCCTCTTTTCATTTTCATTTTATTAGAGCGTTAAATTTAGTTTAAGGACAATATGTACAAAAATTAATACGAATATCATTGCCTAAAAAAAAGTTTCTTTGTTCATTTATATGGCGTATTGATTTATTAGGCAATTAATCTTTCATATATAGTATGGCGTTACAATTACAAAAAAGTAAAATTTTACTTTGTTTAGTAATATTTCAATTCTAATATATGAATTGGGCGTAAAATTTGTTACGTAATGTGTTATTAAAATAAAAAAAAAATTTTTACGAAAAAAAATTTTATGAAGCATGATAGAAAAATTTTTTACCATTGCATAATAACTAAACGTTTGAATAATCAACAAGAGATTTAAAAGGTTCAAATTTGTTTCGTAAATAATGCTCATATTTTTTTCAATTGGTTTAGTTGTTATTTAGGAAACAAAACTTGGCAAATACAGACAATTTTTGTTTATGTTGATTGATCTGTAAAAAAAAAAATGTATTTTTGTTTTACATTTTGTCTGATCTAGAGATAAAACCGGGTCTAGTTTTTTCAGATTCGAAAACCGGTTTTAATAATATCGGTTTATTGCGAAAATTCGAGTTTACCGATTGAACCGGATGACCGGATGACCGGATGATCAGTTTTATGTTATGCATTATAATCAACTCTATTGATATAATTTTGACATGGTGGTAAAAAGTTTAAATCTTTTTTTTTTTTATAACTGGATGATAATTTTCGCGAATTTTTTTTTTTTTAATTTTCCATTTATTCATGCAAATATTATACTTATTTTGTTAGATCCTTACGAATCGTTCCTTCAAAATTTTATTCTTATTGTGTAACTTTAACAAATTTTTCCTTTGAAGTATGTATTTTTTTTTGAATTTGCAATAATAAAATTAATCGCAATTCGGTTTTTCCGTTTTATTACTCGGTTTTATATAAAATTCGGGTCTCAAATTAAAAAAAAGTGTTTAAAACCGGTTTGTGAAAATAAAACCGGTTCCAACCTCTAGTCTGATCTTATCGAAACTAGAGTTTGGAACTGTTATTTAAATTTTAACTGTTTATAAAATGATGAATCGGATATAATTTAAGATATTGCAACCAATGATTCGAATATATTTAGTGAAACTGACATTAGTAATAGTAAAAAAAAAATAATATTTAAAATTTTAGTTTACTTATCTGATATGTATATGTATTCGCGATGGTACTTTATGTGCGGTGGAGCATGTATGATTGGCTGCTGAACATACCAAAATTAAAAATTCTCGTGATTTATTTTTTTTTACAAAAGCAACGCGAATTTTTAAAAAATCCTCCCTTACCAAAACGAGGACCTTGTGCAAAACATAATTGTAATCCAATTTTCGCGGTTTTACTGAGCTTTCATTTGAAAAATTTAAAACGAAAGGAAAATTTAACGTTTATATTTTTAATTGTTTAAAATTTGGTGAACAACTTTGTCAAATGCATTACAAGAATATTGTAATTATACAATTTTACCTTTGACAATTTACCGAATCCTGATACAAATGTCAACACTAAATTTGTTGAAATAAATGGTAATCAAAATAATAAAGTAATTATAATAATTGTAATATAATATATATTTTTATTAATTAGTATTTCTTTATACACCGCATAGTATATTCCGATGCATTAATATAATTAATTTTATTATATATTAACTTTGGAGAAAATTGAAGCTTTAAACCAAAGTTCTCTACTCTATGATATGCAAAGAAAACAATATCTTCTTTTTAACTATAGATCCAGATAGCTTTTGTGCTTTGATTGAAAATCAAGAACTGCGTTTACAAGGATTTTTTAAAGAATTTGTAGATGCATTGAATCCTAAAGATTTGATAATGGAAACAAGACTGTTGTTGGATTTTGTTATCTTCTTTCTGGATTGGGTAACAAATTTGTTAATAATTCAAAACTTGAAATTGGACATTTTAAAGGCATTAAAAATTTATCATCAATGGGTCTTAGTATATTTGCTAAAGCAGTTGATAAATTCAGCCAAGAAATATTAATAAATCATCCTAAAATTATTAACTGGGTTCAAAGATGGCATTAGATTAAAAATTTCCCAATATTCCCTTTAGGATAGTTTTTGATTAGCTGTAGTAATTTTGCAATGATCGACATTTAATAATTAAAAACTTTCTGCAACCTTTTCCATTCATTTAAATATAAACTTTAAAGAACTGAATGCAGCAATATGAAAATAAGTTTTATCGATCTGTCCGTGTAAAATTTTATTTTTATAGGTTAAATAGGGACGGAAACGCGTAAAATTACCATTCTTGCCTTTCCTTGAGCGTTTAATAACATATATTTTAATCGTAACGTAGAATAAAATTTATTTAGGAGAAAGATTTGCTGGATTTTTTTATAATAATACTACTTGAATAAAAAAAAAAATAAACAGAATTGAAAATTTATTTAAGAACCTTAATATAGTAATGTAATTCCAAAACAAATATTAAGAAAGTAACATATAACGAAAGTTTATATCACAATAATGTTATGGACTAATTTTTATTGAAGCCAATTTTTGAGACATTTAAACATTTTTAAAGCTAATTCTTTATTGCAAAAGATATTTTTAATTTTCCACCAAAAAAAATTTTCTCTGAAATATAAATTTGTCTTCCGGAGAAAGTTAAGAAAGAATTAAAATCCTGAGAAGGTTCCTTGGTCTATTTTCAATAAGTAAAATGTGTGAAATTAATAGAACTATATTCGCAGAATCAAAGATGTAGTTTCCAAAATACCTCATTAAGCCTCGACCTTTTAAATAAGAGCGAGCCAAAACTATTGAAGAGAGAGCGGCGAACATTGCCATATGGCCTTGAGAACCCGATGCGATAGTTCCCACGACGACTCCAGTTACACCTAAGCTCACAGCTGCAAGTATCAAGGGAGTTCCTGCAGTTGCGGCAACGCTCCCAACTGTCGTGACGACAATGCAAGATAAAAGAACCATTTTCGTTTTTTTTTTAAATAAATGTTTTAAGTTGAATATAATTTAAAAGCTTCTTTTTTTTTTTGCCAATTTGAATTTTGTTATGTCAAAATAATTAATTATGATCAGCCCATGTCGATCATTTTGCCCAAAACTTTAAAAAAACGTTTGGGAAATATCTAAAATGTCAACCATTCACGACCATAAATGGCATACTAACTGATTATCATAGTAAATCTTTTTTTAAAAAACTGTATCTCGTTAACCTGATGATGTCTTAATTAAAATAATAAGCAAATTAAAATTTATTGGACGATCACGAGTTTAAGAATTTGAATCGCATCGAAATTAAAAATATGAAACTGCTGGGTTTAGACAGACTGTCGAATGTCGAAATTGATAAAATCATATAAATTAACCTGTCGAAACTTTACAAATTTTATTAAACAGTCGAGGACTTATTAAAAACCTATCGAAACTAGAGGTTTAGATGTTTCGGCAAATGCAAAATAGGTTTCGTCAGGCAACCATAGAAAAAGTACGTTATAATACCATATAGATTATATTCCTTTTTTTCCGGCGCATTTCTTTGAAGAATACTAGTGCACAAATCACTATTTATGCAAAAATACTAAACATACAAGTTTAAAGAAATTACATCATAAGATTTCCTTAACTAAATCATGTGATTTTTCATTTTGACACTATGTCGATCATATACTATTTGGGAGTTTTTTAAAAAGTGATATTTTCAAGTTAATATTATTATCGTCTATAACAATAGTCTATATAAAAATAATATAAATAAATTTTATTATCTAAACCTACTGTTCACACTTTGTTCTTAAAAGGTCCTCTTCAAAAGAGGTAATAAATTGTCAAAGTTTTGCTCTAAAAAATTGTACTTTTTTATTATTTAGATCAAGAGAAAATTTGTCTATATTGCTCCGACAAGACAAGAAATTCAACAATTTGAACATTTTAAATCAACAAATAATATAAACTGATTCAACCAATACTAGTTTTTGCATGATTTGCAATTACCAGTTAAATATAAAGGTAGGATTCAAGTTGAACTATAAATAGGCATATCAAAATATTCATACATTAATAGAAAATACCATCAATTTCAGAAGAACCTCGCTTTCCATTTCAAGAAATTAAGGATTCACAATGTATTCATTTGGATTGTTACAGGAAATAGTTTAATATGAATCAATAAAAAAAATATATATTGTAATATTACTTTAGAATTATAAATCACATCATTTAATTAAAATAATAGAAGAAAAATCGAATTATTAAATTTTACTTACTTATTTCTTTTAAAGGTCCATCTATTAATTTTACCAACCACTGAGATTTATTTGATCATTACTTCATTATATTACACAGAAATAATTTTATATATACTTTGACAATCTATAATCTATTTAAAAAGATAGACGGTACTTTAGTTTTAGGCGTTAATTTAACGGATAAGAATCACGCATCAAGTCTTCCTAGTTGGAAGACATAAACTTCAAATAATAATTTTACAGATAGAAATTACTGCGCATTTTGAAATGTGTGAAATATGATTTTATAAAATACGTATATAATTTCATTTTTAATTTTTTTATATAATTTCAGGACGTTTATTAATACATTCATTAAAGAAGTTGGAAATAATATACTCTCATATTCAAATGGTAATGTTCAGAAATACTTCTCATCAAATTATAGGAAAACCATATACAGTTCCCGAGAAAAATCATAGTAACCTTAAAAAATTTTCTAATTTTTTTTTTTACTAACTAATAAGCCTTTTGTCAACAAATAAGGTCGTACAAAATAAAATGTACTGTAAATTCAATTATACTAACAAAAAAAATTAAAGTTATAAATGCTAGATTAAAATAAACATTTTTACGTTAACAAGCTTTGATTCATCTAATATTTTTTTTATGTTTGTATTATTATTTTTTTTTTAAAAAAAATGTAAAACCTTTAACAAAAATTTACGCGAGACTAATAATGATCAATTAATGAAAATTTTTTCTTTAAAGTGTAATATCTCGATAAAAAGAAAAAATTAAACAATAACTTAAAAATATCGGGCATTCACTATTTGAAGATTCATGTCAGTATAACTGCATTTACGATACAATACAATATGCCCGATAAAACAGTTACTCATCACTGCGTACCTCATAACTGCAGCACTATCTTGCCTTACTGGTATTTTAAAATAAGCAATATGATCAGCAAATTTCACCAATTATATTTCGTAACTATATGAACCTGACACGCTTACATTAATTAATAGGTCAACCTGTTTTATAACCAATAACTTTTCTTGATAATCAGAATTACTTATATACTTTAATGTTAAAATCTAGACTTACTTTCCATAAATTGGCAGTTCTAATTAATAGATTTATAATTCCCCTAGATGATAAATTTCATTAATTCCTGGTTCACTTTATTAAAACAAATAAATGACATTATAAATTGCAAGAAATAAATTGCTTATATTTATTTTTTTTAAAAAATATACATTTTTTTAAAATTTTTTTTTCTGATCTAGAAACGAAAAAAAAATCTATTGTATACATATATCTTTTTTTTTTTACCTATATTGCTAAAAAAATTTTGTGCTTTGCGAGCATCAATTAATTAATGTAAAAATAATTAATAATAATAATTTAAAAACGAGATTATGATCATATCTTTTAAGAAATAAAAATAATTGGTCCCTGATATATCCAAAAAACCATATCAATTTGCTAAAATCGAAATTATTTTTTAATTTGATTTACGGCGTCGCGATTTTGATGTTAATTTTTGAAAATGAATTTATTTTATAAGAAATAATAAAAATTTTATATTTGTATTTATTTATTTTTTTTGCGCCACTTAAGCGATGAATTATTAGATTTTTTTTTTATCGAAATAATCAAAAACAATAATTTTTATTAAATAAAAGTTTAAACATATTTTTCAAAATGCCAAAGCGTCATCACCTAATAAAAATGCGTTCAATGCTTCAACTAAGGAATCAATAATTGAATTCTCGAATGATGAAATTTAGTACTCGAATCGACCCGGGTCATTTGACCCGACTCGAGAAAAAATTCGAGTCGGGACTATCATTTTATGTCACGAGTCCTA